CGCAATGCTGGAGGATGGAAACCCAAATCTGAGGTTTTCACTCCAAATTCAGCTGCAATCCAAGCCAAAATCATTATAGTAGGGTCTTGAAGTGGATTGGGGAAACTATGGGAGTGGGGATTTAGACGCCGAATCCACTCTCTGGAGAGAGAGAAAAGGAGCTGCACTTGGTGTGCGCACCAAAGAAAAAAATGGGTTGCATAAAAACTCAAAACCACAAATTTCTTTAAAATGGTTTAACTTTTTTATTAATGATCGAATTTTTATAAATATTATATCAAAATTCATAACTTTTTATGATCTTTCATATAACATCAATATCACATATATAAAGTTAAAATCAAGATTTCATTGTTAAAATATTTTTTTATTATATCTTTAAATTATTATTTTTATAAAATAGATCTCATTGTTAAAAATTTCACTCCAAATTTATTTATTTTTACATCGGAATGCTTGATATTTTAAATTATAATTATTTGCAAAAATATAATTTGCGAAAAAAATTATGTATAAGAATAAAAGTAAGGATTTAACTAAAAAAGAATGTGTTGAGTGAATATATTGACGGTGCTGGGTTGCAAAGAAAAACTGAATTGACGGAGTGAATACGTATAAACTGGTGTTAGATTAGATATATTGACGGGATGGGTTGCGGTTAGCCTTACAAATGTTACAAATGTGAAGAGTTAGAGATTCACTCAAAGAGAGGCGGAGGAAAAAGGAGAATATCAAACAGCATGTTGAACCGGGCCCTATCCGTTAGATAATTTCTATTTCGTACAAATTGCCATGATTTTTTTTTATTTTTACTCTGATTTTATTAAAAAAAAGCAAAATTGATGCAAAAAAAAAAATCATATAGCATCAATATTACATATATGAAGTTAAAAAAAGTTTGAAGATTTGACAGTTGGGTTTTGCTGTGAATTTTTTTTCATATAGCATCAATATTACATATAAGATTGGAAAAAATATTATAAAAAATAGGTCTGGAATAAACACGAAAAAAAGCTCCAAATTATTTATTTTAACATTGAAATGTATAATTTTCAAATTTTAATTATTTATAAAAATTAGTATTAAAAAATTGGAGTTTTTTCTCGAAATAATGCTAATTAAATAAATTTCCTAAAATACTGTGGGGTTAAAAATAATTCCCAAAATACTGTTGGGGTTAACTACGGTTAAGGAAAACCGTCACTTGAAGTAGCGGCTCTTATATGCAGTACAAAAGCCGCCACTTGAAATGGCAGCTCTTGTGTTAAATAAATACCTGGATAGTCAATTAAATGAAAAACAACAAAAAAACTGCTCAATACTGTTCATTTAACTCAAAAAAACAAACAAATGTTTGTATGTGTTGATAAATGTATTATATGTGTTGATAAATGTATAATATATTGCAAAAGTTATACCAATTGTTTGTCAAAGTGAAATTTGAGCTTGTTTGAAACATTTATAAGGAAGTTCAAAATCAAATTAAAATATAAATGAAAAAACTGGCAAACGGAATTGAAGCCATGTCTTTTAGGGTGGTAGATAGATTTTACCTCTGCTCCTCTGTTGCGAATCCTAGTCAATCGATTTTATTTGTTAAATTTATATATTATCGAGTATAGATTTTATACATATATATGGGGATTGGGTGAGATTGAGAGTAGGCAATTGCTTCCCCATGGATTCACCACTGATCATATGATGCACGGATGTTGGTAAAATTGATGCATATAGATATATAATAAAATGATACGAGTCATGTTTGTCGACATAATAAGTACAATAAATATTATTTTGATTACTCATTAATTCACGGCTATTGAACTAAAAATTCATAACTATAATAAGATTTGAGTTAAAATAATTAAGCAACTAATTGGGTGTAAGGGGTATATTTACAGATCTTCATTTCTGATCAATCATCATAGACTAGATTGTGTTAAATATTAAATAATATAAATATAATTAATTTTGACTGATGTTAACGATACACTCATCACATTAATATTTGTTATGCACCATCAATTAATTAAACACGTAAATATTGAAACGGGGAATATGATATTATTGATATGTCCTTCAAAAAAATATATTATTGATATGTGTTATGGTGCTTACATAATTTAACCCAAAAAAGTAAAACTTCGCAACTCAATTTGGAATGTGGGGTAATATTATGTGCTAATAATGTTTCAATATTAATACTCTGTACTATAATTGATATTATTTTTCAAACATTACTTTAACTAAAATTGTTATGGTTGATGTTATTATTATATTTATATTTTATTCTTCTTATTATTATTTTAATTTCAGAGGTACGGTATTGATATGTGGTACTCACATTACATTTGTAGATGGGTAGGTCACCAAACTTTGCCCTGCAATTATGAGTGATTAGTTAACAAGTACTTATATTATTATACTACTTTGCTAAAGTAATTTCACAAAATCCCGGCCCATTACATTTATCAAATTAGTACGGAGTCACGTTCTTTATAATTTTGTCTCCCTTAATCCACTCATTAAGTAAATAAGTTAGGTTGACACCATATCCACATGATAATCACATATATTATCCTCGAATCCTTGTTTCATCATATCCAAGTTACTAAGATATGTTCTCTCTATTTTACTAAACAAATTAAATCATATACTATGAGGATTTCAACATGCATATTAAAAAAAACTAAAATGTATTTAAATTAAAAGAAAATAACACAATATTTTGATTACTTGAATATCATTAGACATGAGCTATCTATATATATCTTATTTTTCAATTTGAGGATGTAAAATATAACTTATAGAGATAATTTTAAAAATAAGTAATGTTATTGTTGTTTTCAATTTTCACTTCTCTTGTTTAAATAGTATTATTAGATGTGTTAGATACTTCCCTATGATTAAAATTTATCCTAATCTCTCCGTACCTGGTCTATTAATATATCTTTCAAGAACAATATAATATTAGATATTTTTGAACATGGAATCACAGAACAATACAATAAAATATATTTTTGAACATGGAATTAGATGTCTCAACATACAATTACAGTTTGGTTGGGTTGGGCATTCAGTGTGAATGAGGCACACATAGTCATGTATGCAAACTTATTGTCATTTTCTCAACAAAAATATTAATTGAATGCTCTTACCAGAGTTCGAGAAGATGGTAGACTGGGATGGATCTCTATGAAAGAGCCAATTGGTCCAAAATAAGACGCTCAGAGACTTAATGTAGGCTTTAATTTGGCTTGAATTCATCTGCATGTTTTGTTCACTTGTTTGATATCCTCCTTTGAGGCTCAATTTTGAAGCTAGGGTTTGGGTGAATCTTGCAGCAACAAAGTCACCATCCGCTTTTCAAATGGTAATATCTAAGACAATTAAAAGTAGAGTTCACTTAAATTTATTGATAACATGGTGTCTCAATGGCAATTCCAATGGATATGATTATTGAAGTCATAACTATTAGGGGTGTGTTCGGTCTTTTCAGTTCGATTTTGATCCAAAACCAAATACGAAATCAAAGTAAATTGTTCGGTTTCAAATCTCAACACTTGAAAATCATGGTTTGATTGGTTCGATTTGTTTCGGTTCGCTTTGTTTCCGTTCGATTTCAGTTTTTTCAATTTTTTACTAATAAATTGCCATTTGATTTAAAATGATACAAGTCTTGAGAGGAGTCATACATATTACATAAAAAATGCAAGCATATTAAGAAAAAAGACAAAATTGAAAAAATAAATATGTCTTGGATTATATGATTATCTTTGAGAGAAAACAGTTTTTTTTTTGTTTTTTAACAAAAATGTATATATTCTTAACTTACATTTTGTGACTAGTTTGAAAAAAATCACCGATATATATGTTCTATGAGGTATAGTTGAGAAAACCCACTTTAAGTTACATAAAAACAAAAGTTAATAGTAATAAGCTAAGCAGCAAAAACATATCATAATCATGCAACAAACTGCATACATACATGCATGCATGCATGCATACATACATCCATGCATCCATCCATCCATCCATCCATACATACATACATACATACATACATACATACATACATACATACATACATACATACATACATACATACATACATACATACATACATACATACATACATACATACATACATACATGCATACATACATACATGCATACATACATATATGCATGCATGCATACATACATACATGCATGCATGCATGCATGCATGCATACATACATACATACATACATACATACATACATACATACATACATACATACATACATACATACATACATACATACATACATACATACATACATACATACATACATACATACATACATACATACATACATACATACATACATGATAAATCAATATGGCTACATTATTGTAGAGAATTAATGTGTAAATGCATTATAAATTAAACTGGATCACAAATATGGTACTCTAACATTTAATAGAAATATGTAATCTTTATACGGAGTATATATAACAATGGAATCGGTTGGGAAAACCTGTTCTCGCCTGATTCCATTGTGGCTAATGATGCGTACTGGCCTAATAAGTGGAATAAGTGGACACGTGTTAAATGCAATTTAATAAATCCATTATGGGTAATGTTGCGTACTAATTAATAAGGAATACGATTTGTCAAATTCAATTTAATAAATACTCAGTATAAATATAACATGGCCAAAATTCTGAAACAAAAAAACAGACATCACGTTCTAATATTTAGGTCGGCACACGATCTAAAGTGGCACGCACTGCAAGTTATAAATGTCAAATTTATAAATAAATACAATTTAATACTAAAATTAATTTTCTAACAGCACACCTACGTACTTAGTATACAGATGTCACAAGTGGAATATGCTTAAGCAGTTTCTTCAACGTTTTGCAACCCCCTACACACGTCTTATTCTACTTCCGAATAACGGCCTCTGGTATGACTATAAATTGATCATTCAACATAGGATTACATTACTTTGGCCGGACACTATTGAGAGAAACGAATCTTTTGTGTACGGTTAGCAAAATGCTTTTTGACAAAGTGCCGGAGATTAACAAGTCCAGGACGAACTGGTCACTAAGATTGAGGCTAATTCGAGCATACACTACTCCATCTTTGAGTAACAAAAGTATCACAAATACTATGGAGCGCGTCTTCCATGATTCTGAGGTACAATTATATACTAGAACCCTATGGTTTGATTAAATCCTTTATGCCATCTTGAACCTAACCTTACTTTTTTTATAGGGTGACAAAGTGCATGCCACAATTCGTCGTGCGAGAGTTATGCATTTTAAGGAGAGTCTCAAGGAAGGACAATTGTATATCGTGAGGAACTTCATTGTCGCACCTGACGACATGAAGTACAAGACGACAACAGTGGCGTACAAGATTCTCCTCAACCACAAGACTACGGCAGTTGATTTCAATGAGGGAAACTTTCGTTCTTTCCTATTCAACTTTAGACCATTTGTCCAGCTTGCATATGCAAATGAAGTGGACCATACCGAATTATTTGGTAACGAATAATATATGTATTCACTATCTAAGTTCTCACAAACTATGATATTTCGTATTAGAATATTTTAGATTATGATAATTACAAACTACAATATTTGATATAATATTTTATAAAATATCTTAGATATATTACCGAAGAATCAATGCTCTTAAAAACTATCTCTACAGATGTCATAGGTAGCATAAAGTCAATTCACTACCCGAGACCGCAAGAGTTCAATGGTGAATGCCAAAAGTTGAGTGAAATTATCCTAGAAGACCCTGGGTATGTTTTTGAGAAATTTTTTAAGCTTTGATCACATCCATCAAGCAGTGTAATATATATTGATATATATTCAACGCATGACAGGCAAGGGACATTAGAGTACACATTGTGGGGGCCATTTGTTGATGTGATCAAAAAACAAGTTAAATAGCACCCAAATTTTATGATGGCCGCAATTTTATTTGTCAAAGCCAAAGTTTACATAGGTATAATTTTCCCTTTTCTTACAATGTATTGTATGGGTTATCCTTCAAAGGTTTGACAGTACTAATCATTAATTTTTAGGGGAGTTTTCGGTTTCAAATTCCTTTTTCGCAACTAAGTGTATAATCAATGGCAAAGACAAAGAGCTCAATGATTACAAAGACAGGGAAATCGCATGTCGATGAATAAATTATATATTAACATTCTGCTATTTTATATTGAGAACTTAACAAACTACATATTTGACGTGCATGGAGATAACGGCTTCACAGGAACCCCAATTGTGATCACTTCATATGAAACAGATGAAGTGAACACAAACAACAATGACATCATCCCTATTGACTCCCTTTTCGAGAAAGACTTGGTACTTATAATTTGACATCATAAATTCTTATTTAAAATGAAATTGCAACTATAACAAACAATTGAGTTATTAGGTTGGCCGTTTTTGGATATCTGGAGAAATCATGGACGTTGATGTGGGCGAAGGCTGGTGGTACTTAGCCTGTAAGGACCGTGCTAGAAAAGTTGCACCAAAATGCAGTAGGTTTGGATGTCTTAATCCAAATTGCAAAAACAATGAAGATGTTGTCATCAGGTATCTAAAGCTGTTAAAATAGCTAATTTTATATCTTAATGGCATGTACGCACTCTTTGAGGTATGTGACATGGTTTTCAAAAGTTCAGTTCATTTCAGAAATCACTAAGAATGGTGATATTTCGTAGGTACAAGGTAAAGATTCGAGTAATAGTCAAAACTGGAAACACATCACTTTTGTTGTGGGATAATGCTTGCTATGAACTCTTTGGCAAAAAGGCTTCACAGTTTGTTAATGAAATGGTATTAGTCAATTTTGAAAACTGTTTTACCTTCACCTATGTTCAATGAGTATACGTACAAGCAGGATGTTTGTACGTGTTTCTTTTATTCTCCATCTACTTCTATTCATAAGGTACATTTGTGAGTGTAATTGGTAAGAATTATTTGCTTCAGCACGTACAAAATCTCAAACACGGGATTTCTTGTAATGTATTAGTTGTAGCGGAATCAAATTGTTCTTTGGCCTGACATTTAAATTTCCTTAATCGCAAGAATTCATTTATTTGCTTGATGATGCAAAAAAAGAGGAATGAGGTTCAGTCCATTAATCTTTAAATAGTTAAATGTTTTTATCTCTTATAAAAAAAGAGGGATGCAGTTGAGTCCATTTATTTAATGTAATATTTTTTGCCAAGAATATTTTATTTTTAGTATTATGTTGAAACCGAGTTGGCCGCCTAGTCGGCGACTAATTGGCGCCTAGTCCGCCTAGGCGCTAGGCGGTGCTTGACCGCCCGACTAGCGCCTAGCGAATTTTAGAACATTGGGTGCATCCAGTCACGCTCTATAAAGTACCTATTTAAATATGTAAACAAGGGGAATGATCGTGTCACTGCTACATTTTATAAAAGTCCAAGTGTCGAAGAATCCACTCAACCCGTGGATGAAATAAAAATGTACTATGATTGTAGATATGTAATGACGATCAATAAAAGTCAAGTTCAACTGTATGTTGGGTTATTCTTAAAAAACCCCGTGTTTTGTCATGGACAACTGTATGTGGCCGTGTCACGAGTTACTAAGCGTGAAGAGTTAAAGATATTGATATGCAACGAAGACGGTGCCTCGAGTTCATCCACATTAAATGTTATATATCCAGAAGTTTTTCAAAATGTTTAATATGTTTTATTTATTTTTGAGAATGTTTAATGCTTTGTACGTTGTGAAGTGTTTGTTTTACGAAATGAAACAACTTATATTTGTTTTATTTAGTTATATATCATACATGCGTGTAATTGTTAGTTGAATAATAATATTCTACAAAAGCATTTCAATATGTGCCTTACATTATTATTAACAAAAACAATTATACACTTGTCCCGTGCATCGCACGGGTACAATACTAGTACGCATATCACAAACATTAATTTTCTATCACAAGAGAACCATAGATTAAGTATCAATGATATTAGAATCAATGTTTAACGGTTAATAAATAATTAAAAAATTCTATAACCAATATTAATATCAATGATATTAAAATATATATATTTTAATTAGTTCAATTTATTCGATTTGATATGATTTTAAAATGCCAAACTACAGTTCGTTTTTTTTTGCATTCGTATAAATAGAGTGAAATAATATGAATTACAATTTTTTTGTAGGTAAAAGGAAATTTATTTTGGTGTAGAGATGAGAGGTACCAACTACTAGACCTGTCTCCGGTTCGGAACTGAACCGGGACCGGAACCGAACAGTCGGTTCATGGTTCCAAATTTCAGGAAACCGGAACCGGAACCGCATAGTACCGGCTCTAAAATCGGCGGTTCCGGTTCCAAACCCGTTCGATTTCTGGTTCCATTTTTATTTTTTAATTCTTTTAAAATTAAAGTTTAATATTTTTAAATAAATTAATAAAAGACTTACCAAAAAATTACAAGAATAAAATTCTCTCTTTGACAAAACTAAGAACAAAAATAAGATAGTTAATAGCTACGTACTTACAAGAATAAGTGTCACTCATTAGTAGTTTTAAATAATTTAATTATCAATAAATAATGGATACTTATTACTAATAATTTTAATAAAAAAACATATACGTAGTATTAACTACTCTCTTCGTCCCGCTAGAAGGTTCCCGTTGGCGGTTTACAATGGCTTGACTGACGATAAAGCAACTTAATCCCTGTTCACATTCTGATTATTTTTAGTAAATAAAATTTACATATTCAGAAACTACATTAAAGCCGCTACAAAACCTGTAAAAAAATGTAAATTTGATAAAAAAATTATTTATGAAGTAAAAGATTAAAAATGATTTAAGTTGACCATATAAATAGTGAACGAGAATCTTCTAATGGGACGGAGATAGTAGTATAGTACTCGTAATAACTAAGGAGTAGTAACTAGTAACTCTTTTAATGTTATTTCTATTATTATTATTAATACAATTAATACTAATAATATTATAGTTTTTAGCATTATTATATGTATTACTAATATTATAATTCGATAATTAATTAAAAAAAGAGGTTTCGAACCGGAACCGTCCGGTTCCTGAACCGGCTTAACAGAAAACCGCGGACAGGTCTACCAACTACTCCCAATTTAACAACTATTTAGATAAAGTTTTGACTAAAAAATGGCAAACAGGTGTCCGTCGTTTCACAAGTTTTTGCAGTAACTTTCTCTTCACTCACTCCGTTTATCCGATTGCATATAACTCCAAAGGAAACCCTCTCATCTTGCCGGAGAGAAGAATACACCAAATTGTAGCTTTTCTTTCTCTTCCTAAATTGCCATATTTCCTTGTCTTTCTTTAAACTCTTCTCTTTGTCTAGCTCACCCAAACCTCAAACCCATCCATAAAAACAAGAATTGGAATTTACCAGAAACTAAGGTCAGATCGAGCTTCTTCTTTTTGGCTACTTTTCCCCTGCTTTATCCACTTATTTGTTCGATAATCTTTGTTTTCTTTACGGGACTTTCAGATTGATGAAAACATAGAACTTTGAGGCCGGGGCTTTCTGCTGAGATCATCCATTTTCACTTTTCTAGGTCTCATCTGAGGTAAACATCTTTCCTATTTCTTTTGTCCCCATTAATTCAGTAGATTCCTGAATATTCTGAGAAAAATAAAATTTATTGATTCAATTTTGGACCCCTTTTCAATCGGAAAAGAATATGATTGTCTTACTTTTTTGAGAAAATTAACCCATGACTAAAATTTAATGTGTTTCCAAAATATGACTTCTATGGGATGTACAAAAGTAGTAGTCATATATTCTGAAATTGTCAATGTTTTAGTCATATATTAGTAAATATCCCTACTTTTTTATTTCACTTTCTCCCAGACACAGTCTTTTTTATGGGATTATTTATTTATTCATTAATAATGATAAATGTCATAGAGAAATAATAATTGTAATTACAATAATAAAAACTATTTAAAAAACAATAATAAAAACTGGAGGAAGACGGGTACGTGTAATCGTGTGGCCTGCGTTCCTTCACTTCCTCGTGGCTTCCGGAGATGGTGACACGCGTCCATGTATCATCTACTAGGTGGCCGATTTGATTAACTAATTAATTAAAGATGATTCCGTAAGAGACAATTAGTCAACCATTAATTTGTGTACAGTACTAATTTATAAATAAACGCTGGAGTAGGGCTGTCATTTTCTACAAGTCTAAGGTATGGGGCGGGACAGATTTCAAATAACGGGCTTTAATGATGCTCATTAAATTTGAATACAACATGCGTAAATGCGTATCACCGATAGGGAAACGCGTAAACAGGGCTAACCGTATACGACAAAACAAACAAAATACTCGTATAAGATACATATATGCAGACTGCACTGTATTTTATAAATATATTCGAGATTATTTTGGTGTGTGTGTATACATTATACGCAGTATGTCTATTTATAAAAAGCATGAGTCAAAACCCGATGAAAACCTCCTAATCCTACATCCAAAA